ATAACCTGCCACAGAGCCGGAACTTTAACAGGGCCCCAGCAGCTGGTGTTTATAGGTGTATGTATGCGTTTTTTTAAAAGATACTCATAATTTCAAGACACATGTTTAACATCACAGCCATCTGGACCCAAAGTTTAGCACTTTTTAAAAAATGAGACACTAATTTTCATACTGACAGATTAATACATCTCATGATTTGTTTCTAGAGACAAGAGTGTACAAGTTCCTAACACAACCTATGAAATGCAAACAATAAGATAGCACAGTGCCCTTCTCCAGTCCAGAACTCCACGTACTCTCCGATCTACTATTGGGAGTTTATAGTCATGCAGCAGCAGGAGAAGCTGCCTACTCTCCCCCACTGAAATCTTCGGACCCACACCACAAATATTTCCATTGTGGATTTTGGCTGTTTCTATTGTTATTTTAAAAAAAATCTCCAAAATCGCAATTCCTGGGTACATGATTTACCACTCAATATTCTTGCATTAGAGTAAGTGTGGCATAGAGATTTGAGTACTGGACTATAATCAGACTTCATATACTTGGTTCTCTGTGGAAAACCACTGTGTGAGAAGAAAAGGCAGTCTCAGTGAACTAGGGGCAGGGGATTGTCAAATTAGCTATTTGAAGACAACTCTGGGTGCCTTTGAGGCTGAAGAGTGTGGAATAAATACTTTTTAAAAAATAAAAATATGTAATAAAAAGTATTATGTGGGAAATACCTACTATATACTAAATCCATTTATTGTCTAATCCCTAATTCCAAATGTGGAAGAATTCTGTCCTATTTGCTGGCCACGATAAAAATATTTTATACATCACAGCTAACCAATTAAAAAAACATGACTCTTGTGGGCACAGACAATATGCAACTTCTGATGAGAAAAACTTGCTGTGTTATGTCTGAGAGGTCTTCACATACATTACTTCTTCTCCCTTATTAAGAATATTATATCATCATGTATCACTGGCTTAGATTGATGCCTTGTGAGTACCAAGAAAGGAAGACCCATCCAATGAATTGCTGAATGATGAGTAAACATGTAAAGATCCCAGTCAGAACTAAAAGAATATTTAACCCTTAATGTCCCCATTTTGCTGAAAGACAACTCACTTGCTTGATCTACACTGCCATATAATGCAGTTTGAACTGAATTATATGACAGTGTAAACCCTGCCACATGGCAATGGAGCAGGAGGGGGCGGGGGGGGGGGACACAAGTGAGACCTTTATGAGTTGATTGGAATTTCTGAAAGCATAACTTAAATTCATTATAAAACTAAACTTACTTTGTCTTTTCACATGATCTAACATTTTATACATTATCAGTTGATTTAATTGTAAAATAGGATTTTTTTTCAGCATTAATGTCATAAAAGTAATACTCAAAGAGGAGTTTGATTGTTGTCATGTGACTTTAAGTCAATTCTGATTTATGGTGATCTTACATTTTTCTATTGCAGGGCTTTCTTAGCAAGATTTATTCAGAAGGATGGAGGTTGCCTTTGCCTTCCCCTGAGAGTGAGAGACTATGATTTGTCCAATGTCACCCCACTGGGTTTTTATGGCCAAATGAGGCTTCCTACCCTGGTCTCCAGAATCATTATCAAATCACTACTCTACATTGTCTGCCTGAGCTTGTATACCTGTGAATATTTACACAATGGCTCAGGTTACCTGTTTTTTTCAGTTCAGTGAATTTTATGTTAAAACGCTGGAAACAGAGCAATGCTAGTTTGAAACTTAAGAGGGGTCATGCATTATTTTGCATTACTCATAACAGCAGCTTGTTAATTTTCCTTGTACCAGGCAACCTGCCTATGATTCTCAACTGTCTACAACCTATCAATTATTCTTACCTCCACTTTATGCTAGCACAGATATCACCACTAGTCCATCAGGCTGATATATGACCATACTCCATCACAGCATTGGCTTCTTCTGAGAATCTGATTGTGCTTTTGGTTTCACACTTTTATCTCATGCCATTGGCCTTGATTTGATTTTCTCAAGCATTACCTCTTTCCTGCATTTATCAATGATTTCTCTGATTTTCCCATTGACCACATCCCAAACTTCAGCTTGCCTTCACCTGCATCCTAGTGCTAATCTACACAAATTACTTGTGCTCTCATTTCTTCTGTAGGGTCTCCCACATCTCTACCCACTAGCCATTTTATATAAAGCATACAAACAAAGCCATAAAAGCTGTACAAGATTCTACAGAATACCCAGATCCTCTTTTCTACTGAACATTAGAACTAAGCCCTCTAGAGTCCTTCCATTTGCAAAGGAAATTGGAGTTCAGAAACATTGTTTGGTGATGATACCCACACCAAAGGCATTAGGGATAGAAAGAAGGTAGATCTTCATCATCTCTGAGAATCATACATGCTGATGGAAAGGCAAATGGAAGACCCGAATATCTGGAAATCCATTTTCTGTTCACCCTAGTACACATCATGGAGTCAATGAAAAATGTTCCAACAATAGTCTTATCTACTTTCAGAGTAGAAAAAGGGAGCACTGCCTTTTCCAAAAGTACATTATCTTTTCCACAAAAAAAAAAGAACAGAAAGAAGGTTCAGAGAAAAGGTGAATAATGATGAGCACAAGTTGTATGAGATATAGATGTGACCAGAAATAGAGAAAGGAAATAAAAGGATTTCTGGATAGCAGAGCCTAGAAGTAAAGTGTTCAGACATATCCAGCATATGATATGGGGCAGCATGCTGTTCTTCTGCCCCTTTCATATTCTGTGGAGATAGACATGGACATAGCACACAAAGTACAGTGCCCATATGTAGGCCAAAATAACACAACCAGGAACTGTGTCATTTTGGGCTAAATGTATAGATGCAACTTAGATGCATGTGGATAGCAGTGATGAGGACAAACAATGGAGATAGAAATAGAAAGGTGTAGTATCATATTATTATTAGTATTATATAGTATTACATTATAATATTATCATGTCTTCACCTGGCTCAGGAGCAGAGAGAAGGCCTGGCAAAGTTATCAAACTATATGATATAGTTATGTAAAATACCAGGAGTAGGGGGCATGTTACCTGCCACAATTATCAATCTCCATGTTTTAATATTATTGATTGAAACCAGCTCAAACTAAGCAAATAAAAGGTTGGCAGTAAAGGTTTAATCTCCTTTCATGAAAAGACACAGTGGGGGTATAGCCAATCAGAACCCAGGTGTGTGTCAGAAAATTTGATGTTCAACTGGTGGGAGAAGACCTAACACCTTATTCTGTCACGATCATCAATTCAGCTTAAGGTTGGACTGCTGTGCCCCAGAACTGGTCCAAGGCATTTGGCTACCTGGGGCAATGGATATAATGACCTTCCCTACTCTGCTCAGAAATCAAGTGGGCTAAAGGAGGGATCTTATTATAACATTTGCAAGGTAATACATCTCTCTGCCATATCTGTAGGCAATGCGTTAGATTCAGGAGTCAAGAACTATTTGGCACACACAACTCTGTACTTCTGAGGGCCCTTCCACACAGCCATATAACCCAGAATATCAAAGCAGAAAATTCCACAATATCTGCATTGAATTGGGTTATCTGAGTCCACACTGCCATATATTCCAGTTCAAAGCAGATAATGTGGGGTTTTATTCAGCTGTGTGGAAGGGGCCGGAGACAAGGCAATGCTTCCCTCTACCCAACAGCAGGGCTGGTCCACTGTCATCTTTGAAAATGGCAACATGAAACCTTCAGTTTGGCTTAACTCTGGCATATTGAATGAATTGGCATCACTAGCTTGTGAACGGCTGTCTTCTCAACGGTTACATAATCCCCTGTATCTAGCCCAGGCCTGGGCAAACTTGGGCCCTCCAGGTGTTTTGGACTTCAACTCCCACCATTCCTAACAGCTTCAGGCCCTTTCCTTTTCCACCTCAACTGCTTAAGCTGAGCAGTTGAGGGGAGAAAGGAAGGGGCCTGGGGCTGTTAGGAATGGTGGGAGTTGAAGTCCAAAACACCTGGAGGGCCCAAGTTTGCCCAGGCCTGGGTTAGCCTGTCAAGTGGGAATAATACTGAAGGGGAACCATAAGGACCAGAACTTGAAGGGCAAAGCACTAAGAACTTTGGAAAACTGAATAGATTTTGATCTAGCAACAGAACACTAGGAGGGATTTTTTTCCTGCAACTCAGTTGGTGAGCAAAAGACATCCCTAAGCGATCCAAAGGTTATATGACCTCCTAACATGCATGAGCAAGGGCAGAATAATTCTCAAGCGGCTGCATTTATTTTATAGCCTTGCTCACGGATGAAGAGAGATTGCTCACCTTGAAAGCCTTGGCAAACTGTTTCCTGCTAGCTAGCTAATACAACAGTCTGGAGGGAAGGAGAAAGAGACAGGGAGAGGGGGAGAGAAGGAAGAAAGCAAAGAAAGAAAGAAAGAAAGAAAGAAAGAAAGAAAGAAAGAAAGAAAAAGAGCCCAAGGCAAACCGCCATAACGCTGCCTGGGAAGGATTTTTTTTCAACAAAAAAAAAGGTTTTGTTGCAGTGTCTTAAAATTACATATCAAGCTAGGCCCAGTGTTCTCCTTGCAAGCAACTCAGGAGGTAGTTTGCAGTCAGAGTGCAGGGATTTGGTGGGAACCTGGCGTATTTCACCTTAGTTCTAATCATTTGGCAGCTTTGTCAAGGAAACACAAAGTCCAGGGAGGAGGGATGGAGGGCCCTTCCACACAKCCCTATATCCCAGAATATCAAGGCAGAAAATCCCACAAGATCTGAGTGTGGACTTMGATAACCCAGTTCAAAGCAGATCTTGTGGGATTTTCTGCCTTGATATTCTGGGATATAGGGCTGTGTAGAAGGGCCCGGAGAGGCACAGGAGCTCCCCGAGATCTTCACCCCAAGGACTTTCAAAGAAGACCCACATCAGACAGAAGGAAGGCAGGAAGGAAGGCTCCCAACCCGACCGCAATGTTGTTGTAAGACAATAAGAATGGGAACAAGCCGCTCTTACCTTGGCTTCACATTTCTTGTGACAGGAGAGCTTGCAACCTGTAGGAGGCACAGAAAGGAAGAAGGGAGAGGGTGGRGTGGGTTTGGAGGGGTGGGTAAGGGCGAAAAGAAGAGGGACATTAAAAACTCTTGCCTTCCAACGTGAAACATTCAAGAAAAAAACCAAGGGAAGAGAAAGGGGCCTCACCCAAAGGAAAAGAGAGGGAGGGAAGGAGGGGGGAGTTGAAACGGAAGCAGAGCAAGAACGAACAGACGAGCAAATCCCCCCTCCCAACCAAAAGAGAAAGAGAGGAAGAAAAACAGTACTTAAAGAAAGGGAAAAACTAAACCACGTTACCAGGAAGAAAAGAGGACTTATTTCCAGATTTTTTGAGCCGACTCCTGCAAGAGAAGGGGGACGAGGGTGGGAGCTACACACTCCACGCACAGGAGGGAGGGCTGGGCTGTTTTGGGGGGGGAGAGAGAGAGAGAGAAAGAGAGCGAGCGAGCGAGCGATCCCTTCTTGCACGCTGGCGCCTCGCCAACGAGAGCCCGGGCAGCAGCAGCAGCAGCACAGGTAGAGCAGCGCGCGCCCGCTCGCCCGCTCCAGTCCCGGGGATAATACTAAGCACATTGTTTGGGAGCTGCCTGCCAGCCCCCTGCGCTGTCAGAGGCTGCCCTGGGGCTCCGCATTTTTCCCCTCTTTCCACACACATCCACACGCCCCCACCCTCCCTCCCTCCCTCCCTTTCATGACTACACTTTACACACACACACATGCACACGCACAACTGGGCCCAGCCCTCCCTCGCTTTTGGGGAGTCATGTTTCTAAGTCGTTAACTCCAGCAAGAATGTTGAAAATGTACAGGCTGGGCTCCCCTCCTCCTCCTCCTCGGGAGGGAGGGAGGGAGGGAGCATCACTTTAGGGTTGTATGGATTTGGAACAGGACCAAGGGAAGGGGGAAAGAAAGAGAGAGAGAAAAGAGGGGGTTGTCCCTCTCTTCCTTCTCAACATCCCTCCCCCTCCCCAAAAAATAAAACACCCCACACATCTAGGTTATGGAACAAAAGGATGAGCCAGCTCGGCCCAGTTTTCTTCCCTCACCTGGCTTTGTTTGTTCAGAAACTCTTGCTTCAAACTGTCACCGAGCAACCAGGCGCCCAAGTTATTCATGATCTTTCATTATGCTCTTCCTTTTGCCTGCCCCCAAAATGGGCCTTTTCATAAGTGAACCTAGTACTGGGATCTTGTGAGTTTTCTAGGCTGCATGGCCATGTTCCAGAAGCATTCTCTCTAGACCATGGCCATACAGCCCAAAAAAACCTACAACAAACCAGTGATTCCGGCCATGAAAGCCTTCAACAATACATTCTCTCCTGACGTTTCGCCTGCATCTATGGCAGGCGTCAGCAGAGGTTGTGAGGTCTATGTATTGTCAAAGGCTTTCATGGCTGGAATCACTGGGTTGTTGTAGGTTTTACGAGCTATATGGCCATGTTCTAGAGGCATTCTCTCCTGACGTTTCGCCTGCATCTATGGCAAGCATCCTCACAGTGTGATGTCTCTACTCTTCACTATTTTATTAAGATTGGCCATTGCTCTCCTCCCAAGAAGTAAATGTCTTCTGATTTCCTGGCTGCAGTCTGCATCTGCAGGAATATTCGCTTCTAGAAATAGAAAGTCTGTCACTGCCTCCATGTTTTCTCCCTCTATTTGCCAGTTATCCATCAGTCTGGCTGCCATAATCAAACCCCATTTTCCAACAGACCTCACAACTGGGTTGTTGTAGGTTTTTCGAGCTATATGGCCATGTTCTAGAGGCATTCTCTCCTGATGTTCGCCTGCATCTATGGCAAGCATCCTCAGAGGCTGTGAGGTCCTGGTGGTAGGTAGGTGACTGTGGAGCCCTGCCTCACAACCTGGCAATGAAGATCCGCATAGTCAAAGCAATTGTATTCCCTGTAGTAACCTATGGATGCTAGAGCAGGGCCATAAGGAAAGCTGAGCGAAGGAAGATAGATGCTTTTGAATTGCAGTGTTGGAGGAAAGTTCTGAGAGTGCCTTGGACCGCAAGAAGATCCAATCAGTCCATACTTCAGGAAATAAAGCCTGACTACTCACTGGAGGAAAAGATATTAGAGGCAAAAATTAAGTACTTTGGCCACATAATGAGAAGACAGGAAAGCTTGGAGAAGACAATGATGTTGGGGAAAATGGAAGAAAAAAGGAAGAGGGGCCAACCAAGAGCAATATGGATGGATGGCATCCTTGAAATGACTGGCTTGATCTTTAAGGAGCTGGGGATGGTGACAGCTGACAGGGAGCTCTGGCATGGGCTGGTCCATGAAGTCACGAAAAGCGGAAGCAACTGAACGAAAAACAACAATAACTGTGGCATGTCCAGGGTGGGAGAAAGAACTCTTATCTGTTTGAGGTAAGTTTGACTGTTTCACAGATATATAAACCCCGTTTTCCTAGTTTCCAACAGACCTCACAACCTCTGAGGATGCCTGCCATAGATGCAGGTGAAACATCAGGAAAGAATGCTTCTGGAACATGGCCATACAGCCCAGGGCACTTACAACAATCCAGTGATTCCAGTCATGAAAGCCTTTGACAATACATTGAATCTGGTACTGTAAAACCTTATTGTTTCTATCTTAATAAAGATAAAGGTTAGCCATGACATTACGTCTAGTTGTGTCCAACTCTGGGGGGCAGTTCTCATCTCCATTTCTAAGATGAAGAGCCAGCGTTGTCCATAAACACTTCCAAGGTCATGTGGCTGGCATGACTGTATAGAGCACCGTTAACTTCCCATAGAAGCAGTATCTATTGATCTACTCACATTTGCATGTTTTCGAACTGCTAGGTCAACAGAAGCTGGGCCTAAGAGTGGGAGCTCACCCCACTCCCCAGATTCGAAACACCAACCTTTTGGTCAGCAAGTTCAACAGCTCAATGGTTTATGGATGAAAAAAGTGAGGATGAAGTGCAAAGGCTCCTGAATTAAATCAGCCACTAGATAGCCCAGTGTTTTCACAGACTCAGTTGGGTGGGACCTTAAGGGTCTTCTAGTCCAAAGCCCTGCCAAAGTAGGAATCCATAACCAAAGCACTCCAAGAACTGGCCATCTGACTTTTATTTCAAAACTTCCCATTAATGAGATTTCAGCACCTTCCAGGGCTGTCTGAACAGCTGAACAGCTCTTGTCATCAGGGAATGCTTCTGAATGTTTGATCAAAATTTCCTTTCTTGTTCTTTGAAGCCAATTGTTTGTGTCTTATCCTTTGAAGCAGCAAAAAACGAATTTGTCCTATCATTCACAGGGCTTGTTGTTGTAGTAGTGGTGGTGGTGGTGATGTGCCTTCCTATTGCAACCTGGAGGAAAATCTTATCACAGAGATCAATGTGTTGTCGAAGGCTTTCATGGACGCAATCACTGGGTTGCTATGAGTTTTCCGGGCTATATGGCCAAGTTCTAGAGGCATTGTCTCCTGACATTTCACCACATCTATGGCAGGCATTCTCAGAGGTATTCTCAGAGGTTTTCTGAGAATGCCTGCCATAGATGTGGGCAACACATTAGGAGATAATGTTTCTGGAACATGGCCATACATCCCAGAAAACTTACAGCAACGATCACAGATCTGTTCAGCTGTGGAATATACTGCCTCGGAGCATGGTGGAGTTTCCTCCTCTGGATTCTCGAGGTTTTTAAGCAGAGGCTGCATAGCCATCTCTCAGGGATGCTTTGAGAGTGTGTTCCTGAATGGTGGGCTAAACCTTTTTATTCAGGCAGGCTTTTAAAGAAGAATGTTTTAAGATCAAATCAGGGGGTGCTTTGACTATGTTTTTAATCCATTTTTATGGATTTTAACTGCGAATTTTAAAATATAATTGATATTTAATTCTGTTTCAATTACAAAATTACTGTCTGTCAGCTGCAAAAGGACATGCTGCTCAAGTCTGAACGCATTATTCGCCGATACATCACACAATCCTAGACACTTGGAGAGGGTCCAATGTGTAATCCAATAGAAAACCCAGCACAGTGATCTTGTTTGCTGTGTACTAATTTTGTTGTACTTCAAATAATAATAATAATAATAATAATAATAATAATAATAATAATAATAATAATAATAGATGGGATGGCCCTTGGGGTCTCTTCCAACTCTGTGATTCTATGATTCTAAGTTTTCTTGGCAAGATTGTTTAAAAGATATTTGCCATTGCCTTCTTCTGAGAGTTAGAGAGTGTGCCTTGCCCAAGAGAAGGGTTTTTGTGGCGGAGTGTGGATTTGAACCTTGGTTTCCCAAAGTCATAGTCCAATATTCAAACTATTACACCATGCTGACTCTCTTTCTCCAGGGATCCACTTCATATAAGTAAAGCGATTCCAATATCACCCTCAATCTTCTCTTCTCAGCCAAACATGCCCAGCTCCCTCTTCTTCTGACAGGGTTTGATTGTGTCACCCTCCTCTTGGCATATTTCAGTTTGTCCCTGTCATTCAAAAACTGTGGTGTCCAGGCACATTAGTCTACATGAGATCTAACCAGGACAGATTACAGTGGCATGATGACTTCCCTTGATCTGGATACATTGTTTCCACTGCCATGGAGCCCTGGCATATCATATCAATCCATAAAGAAAATCAGCCATTGTAACCCTTATATCAGTGAAGGAGAATTTAAAGATGACTTTTTCCCCCTTGACAACATCCAGAATCCCTGCACAGCTAAAAAGACTCTTCTGAGAAGTAATAGACCCATCTGGTTATCCAGTAATTGAAAGTGGCCCAGAGCAAGTGGGGTAAAGGAGAGATCCCTGAAAAGCGGGTGGAGGCATCTTTTGCAAGTTCCCAATAATGGAAGTTGCCCATACCAAATCTTCATACACTCCCTCTGTCTTTTCAGCCTACTGCATTCATGATGAAAACCTACCCTTCAGAAGAGGCTCTGGGGGCTGTTTGCAGACGAAAGGGGAACCAAGCTTTATCCCACCGACCCATGAGGGGAGAACCCCAGTGTTCAAAGCTGGATGGCAAAAGA